TTCTGGACCGCATTCTAATGCCCATAAAAGCATATAGCCGTTCAATGATGATTAGAGGCCCTATGTCCATGTTTCTCCTGCTCCTTGTCCTCACCTCCTTCTGATGTCGCATGCTTCACTCAGTCGCGCCAGCTTAATAAGTTCCCTTTCGCCTACCGTTCATTTTGCATTTCGCTCTCACTTGGAAATTTTTGCTACCATCATTGTTGTCTTCCCAAAACTGCTTTTGACCCGTTCTTACTAAGGGTTCCCAAGTGCTGGATTAGTTACCTGGTATCGCCAGTCTTGCTTGATGGTGTTACCTACAGCCGAACAAGCCTTTCTCGTCTCCCATTTATAATTACTGAATAACTGCTGCTCAGACCCGCCTACTGTTATGTGTCCATTTATCTTACAATTACTTTTACGATTAAAATTACAATAATTTAACTTCTATTAATATTCACTTTACTATGCAGGAGTATCCTTCCACATAAAGCGCACTTCGAACAGTAATGAGAGACAGGGAGAAGCAACCAATGTTATAAGAACGTGGTAGACCACCTAGAGATGGCACTGGAAACAAGACACAAAACGTCGATTAGTGGGTGAGATTCAAGTCCTTCCACACAAGTGTCGTTGTTATTGCAATTATGTACATACATATTTTAGCTGTACGCTGCACTCCAATTTCTTTTCAGGAGAAAAGTTTCTGTTAGAAATAATGAAAATAGGATGTTGTTAGTGATAAGCTTACCATCAGAGGTAGCCATAGCAAGATTAGGAATCGTGAATCTCAAGCTCAGAATCTGCCCCAGATCATCTAACGAAATCAAGGAGCGAAGAATGGCACGAGCTCGAAGCGAATCACCTTTACCGGCCTGAAACGATCATGATTATGAATCGATATCAGTTCTTCTGAAGACATGTTTCATGCCTGTATAGCCATCGGATCTGGCGCACACTTGGCCAGTAAGTCTACTAGTGACGAATAGAAATCCAATGTAGCCGCTCCCAAATCCAGGTAGTCTTCACCTTCGCCCTCTTTTGATGGATACGTCCTTTAACATACACATGTTAGTTAAGACGATTTAATATTCCGATACCTCGATATGGACTTTAAAACCTACGGTGAATCTCCTAGCAGCCCACATTTAAGCATTGTAGCAGCATCGCCATCTTCCTCGAGCACACGGATATCCTCAGACAAAGCGATAGCTTCCTAAACGATGTAGTACGTTGAGAAAGCAGAAGCTTGAAGGATAGGGCTCTTGAAATTATCTACTGACTGAAAAATGAAAACTCTTCACCTTAAATGCTGCGAATAGACCTTGGCCTTCTCCCTTAAGAGCTATGCCAAGACATTCTGGACGACGAATGAGCAGTCGAATCACTAGGTTAGCGTTCTCCTCAACGTTTTCGCCATTGATCCAGACGCAGAAACGGAGGAAGTCGATATACCTGAAAAGTCAAATCCGACGATCAATTGAACAGATTGGAAGACTTTCATTTATGAAATTCCTCAGAAATGAAAAATGTTCTAGTCAAAACGTTATTTTTCGAACCGTAGGTACGACACAGTACAGAACAGTGCTGTACAGTTCGTACGAGACAGTACAGAACAGTGCTGTACAGTTCTTTCATGCAAACTGTCTCGAGTCAATGCGGTTGGGCTAGGCATTACATCACCCTGTAGGACATGAGGGAACAGCACCGGCACCAACCAACTTCTGCTACCTTGCACTTAGGATAGGAACCGCACTTGGTAGTGGCTTATGTGGACAATCACTAAGCTTGCCATACTCCAGTCTTGAAGTTCCACGGTAAGGGTATGACCCCTTATATAGAAAGGTCATAATGAATTCTAAGAATAAAACTTTAGGTGTGCAGTGTAACTACAAACAAAGTTGCCGGTTGCACCATCTTGTTGTGTTCGCAGTGCAATCCCTAAGCGGGGTCTGATCTAGCCGAATCAACTGGTGTCTTGAGCAGTTTAGAAGTATGAAGAAGAAACAGTTGTGAATTCGCAAAGCTTACCGTTCCCCTTCAACCGGATCCCATCCGATATCTGGATACCCTTTGGCAATCATTTCCGAGTTTGGCTGTAGACCGCATCTCGACAAATAAACGGTAACCTGGAACGGTACCATTGAAATGAGTGCGATTAAGAAGGTGTAGCCCAGTCAGGTAAACCACATTTCTTTTTCTCTCCTTGAATGAATATTTAGAAATAAGACTATGGC